TATCCTAAAGAAAGAATAAATTAAAAACCCCTTCTTTTAAGTATGTCACCCTTTAAGCTACATCCATATTTCTTTCTTTCCATCATTTCCAGCAATTTGTAACCTCCTATTTTGCTGTTCAACCTATTGCACAAACAAGCTTTGGCCCCTACTACCACCGAAATGGTTTTTATGTCACCAGTGATTTCCTAACAATCTTTTCAGCTTAGTTTTCTTTTCTTTTCTTCTGAGACAGGGTCTCACTCTGTCATCCAGGCTGGAGTGCAGTGCATAATCATGGCTCACTGCAGCCTCCATACTCCTGGGCTGAGGCAATCCTCTCGCCCCAGCCTCCCAAGTAGCTAGGACGTGCCACCATGCCCAGCTAGGTTGTTTTTTTTTTTAATTTTTATCTTTTGTAGAGACAGGGCCTCATTATTGTTGCCCAGGCTGGTCTTGAACTCCTGGCCTTAAGCAGTCCTCCCATCTTAGCCTCAGAAAGCACTGTGATTACAGGTGCGAGCCACCTGCACCCTGCCTCATTCTGTTTAATTCTTGACCACTCTTTCCCCATATTTTTTTCAGATGCTCAATTGATTGGAAGAGGCCAGTGGGAGACAGCTTATTCTCAACTAGCAACAAAAATCTGAAGAACTTACATTAATTAAGGTCAAATGAGGAATCAGATTTATAGTTCTAGCAATAATTACCTAGTAACTATAGGCAATTGTTATTGCTTATTTTGTACCTATTTAATGCGCTGCGTACTATCCAAAGAGGAGACTATAAACTGCTCTCTCGAGATGCAGACAATCTTGTTGAATGGGCAAGACTCAAGTTTATAAAACTATTGCCATTTTAAAAATCATTAAGCAGTTTAAAAATGAATCAATGTTATATTGTATGGTACAAAATACAAGTACAGCAAGTATTCAAGTTAGAAAAAATGTATTTCTTGGAAAATATACTCACAGAGTACCTTATTAAACCTGAAGTAAATTATAAGGTACAAATCAGAGAGGTGGGATAAGAAGGATAGTTCACGCAGGGACACTTGCACCAGCAGAAGCAAAGAGCTCCATTTCTCAAGGATGGTTTTCTCTATTCTTTGGCTTTTTTATAATCCTCTTCTAACACTTCCTTTAGTCTCCAATTTCCACCTCTTTCTGCTTCCATGGGTCAACACACTTCACACTATAATGCTTCCTGAGCAGAATGGCAATCCCATCTCTTAGCTGTGCCTCCTATCTAGATCTATTAACTGCCTGGCTCTTTAACCACCTTTAGAAGATCCTAACAGCATCTCCCAAATTATACTGGGATTGGATCTAAGGAAGGACAAACTAACCAATCTCTTTCTCAACAGAAAGAGTCCTTTCTGCCCCAGAAGAGTCCTTTTTTTAAAGAACTGTCCACAAGGACTGTTCTATTTTAATAACATTTAAAGATCATGTTCATGTCGAAGCATAGCAGGTGGCTCACATTGGCACAACAATATCATACTTATTTTTTTGAAGAAACAAAGCTTTACCCTTCTAAATTTTCATAATTAAGATCCCTTTAATCTAGATTTGGCCTTATGAAGTGATCTATCCAACTCTGCTTTTTCTAGATGGACTAAAAAATGCCTGGAAATGAAATCTCTTTTCCAGCTAAATGAGTTGCTTTCAAAACTAAAATCCAGGCCTCAAACTTCTAGTACTGTCTCACTCCACTATACCATAATGTCACCCTTCTCGCCAAAGAAATATTATCGGAATCTGGGAAGCATCACAGTATCTGAATTCGTTGCCTAACAGAATATAGATCACACAGATTGCTTTATTTAATCAGTACATCTTAACTGAGCAATTCATTCTGAAGGCACTAGAAAATAAGTTAACCATTTTTCAAAAACCAAGACAATTCATCTCATGAGAATACTGCTATTATACCAAACATATCAAATTGTGGCCAAAGTTATAAAAAAGTCAAACAAGGTCATACATGGTTGGGAATGATAAGGTCAATCATTGGTTGGAATACTATCTGGAAGCATGATCATCTGAAGTTGAGTATGACGATGCTCAACTGATTGGACAGAGGCTCCAATCAGAAAACGGAGTGGTCCATGTTGTCACCAACTATGTGTTCCTTTCTAAATAAAACTCTGAATAAGAACCAAGATAATTTCTAATATTTTAGCCCAGCTAACCCCCAACTAAACCATTAATGGCTCTTTGGAGAATGCTGTAATACTAACTCTGCCTTCTATGCAGAGTTCCGCGGGGCTTTTTGGCACAGTAGGCTTTAAGATGTCAGTGCTTCCTAGTTAGAGAAGTTTTGAGTTTCTTGATTATCATGATGATAAATCCCATTTCCTGCTTTACATGAACAATTGCAGCGCATCACACAGGTGACACCTGTGCTGCTCAAGTAGTTATAAATTTAAATGCTAGAATCTTGTTCTATTTGGTTCTCATTTTAAGGAAGACAGTGCATTTCTGAATCTGGGCAAGAGACCAATTTTAAATAGGAGTTGAATTTTACCCTCATATAAGTCTTTGATTTAGGGTTGTTAAAAGACAACCTCAAGGTCCTAAATTTGAAGTTTAATGTACAGTCTAAAATAGTGACATCACTTTCTAATGCAAATTGCTTTAAAGATATATATTATTCTCTTTACATAGGGACAGGATCTTTATTGGTTAGTACTTTTTTTTTTCCTGCAAATCACTATTATGTAGAGAAAGAATTTGAGTTGTGGTAAGATGTAAAGTTTAAAGGTAAACATTAAAAGATACAAGACACAATTCATTCATAATAATCATCTTGTTGATGGAGCCAATTTAGAGTATTGGATTGTAGTACATTGTTGTCTGAGAAAGCAATGGTATCAATCAAGTCACCTAGCCACCCCTAGAATGTAGTAGTAAGAACAGAGGGCTTGGCACAGTGGTTTTACACAGACCTCTATGGCTCTGACCCTGGGCTTGTCGTTTGGACCACTCTAATTCTGTGTCCTCCTTTGAAAAGTGAATACATAGGACTGAATTTTTTAAAACACCAGTTTAAAAAATTATAGTAAAATACACATAAAACAAAATGTACTATCTTAACCATACCGAAGTGTAGTTCAGTGGCATTATCACTGTGCAACAATATTGTTATGCAACCACCCTACCACCCATCTACAGAACTCTTTCATTTCCCAAAATTGAATTTCATACTCATTAAACAACAGCTCCTCATTCCCTCTCCCCACAACTCCCGGCAACCATTATTCTAATTTATGTCTCCATAACTTTGACAACTCAGGCACCTCATATAAGTAAAATCATACAGTATTTGTCCTTTTGTGGCTAGCTTCTTTTGTTTAGCGTAATCTCCTCAGGGTTCCTCCATGTTGCAGTATGTGTCAGAATTTCCTTCAGTTTTAAAACTGAATAATGTTCCATGGAATGTATACATCACATTTTCTTCACCCATTGATAGGCACTTGGGCTGCCATCCACATTTTGGCTATTGTGAATAATGCTGCTATGAACATGGGTGTACAAGTATCTGTTTGAGTCTCACCTTTCAATTCTTTGGGGTATATTCCCAGAAGCAGAATTGCTGGCTTGTGTCGTAATTCTATTTTTAATTTTTAGAGGAACCATTATACTTTTTTTTCCATAGCACCTGCACAATTTTAACTTCACAGGACTGGATATGTTTAAATGTCCCTTCCATGTCTAGAGTTCTAGGACCCAGTACTTGTTTTTAAAATAACCTCTTTAAGTCATTTCCTCTTTAGCTGGAAATCCTGCTCCCCGTGGAAAAACACTGGGATGTCTTTTACTTCAGAAAGCCTTCATTTGGGTTATGTGCCCTCCCGGCACCCTTACTTACAAGTGGCAAGCCCTCATCGTGTTTTACATTTATTTCTTATTTTCCTATAAGACATGAGCTCCTGGAAGCAAAGGTTATGTATTATTCTTCAATATTTCCTTAGTTCTTGACACAGAATAATCAAACAGCAAATGTCTGATGAATGAATAGGTGGGAACAAAACAGGATCAAATATTTCCAAATGAAGAATTGAAAAAACGATTAAACATAGTAAAATTAGAGAACTTTTTTTCTCCTAATGCAAAATATTTTCCTGGAGAGGCTGGAACTCAAATAATCAAAATGATAAGCATGATAATAAAAATGCCTACCTAGGGCTATCCCAACCATTAGCCAGGGCGGAATCTTTCCACCTGGCCCCTGGTGGGACACCTAGCCTAACATTCTTGCTCCTGCTGGCTGGCATTCCCAGAGGATGGGCTATACAAGGTGTTTGATGCCCATCAACATGGAAGTGCAGAAGAGACATTCAATGTCAGTCCATGGAAGAGCGTAGAGGGGCATTCTCCAAGCACCCCCATTCGCTAATACAGTGAACTCCTCTTTGATGCTGGAAGAGATCTTGAAGTTCAGCAGTTCGGGGGGGCCCTAGTATATTGGACGATATGGCTGAGGTTCAGAGAAGAGAAAAGGCGATTCCTAAGTTATGCAGCAAGAAGGCTACCTACGCCCTAGATCTGGAGATACAGACGCTCTTCGCAGGGATAGAAACTATTTTTAAGATAGCTTTTTAAGATATAAACTATTTTTAAACCACTTCGCTAAGCGCTGGAGGGCAGGGTTGTAATTGGATACAGGAAAATGACAACGCTTCAGTAAGTCGCCTGCATCTCACGCTAAATAAGAGGCTCTGGACGCCTGGGACTCCGTCTCAAAAGGAAAAAAAAAAAAAAAGAGGCACTGGGCTGTAGGAGAGTGGTAATATTTCTGGACCCAGACAAGGCGGCCACAACCCTCCCGGGGCAACAACCCTCCCGCCCGGCTGGTTTTTTGGAACCTCTGCAAACACTTTCTCCGGGGTCAGTTTCCCGCCAAACCGGGACGGAAGGATGTTCAGAGGTCCCGGGAGTGGAAGCCGCTGTCCCTGTGTCCACTGGGAAGTGGGCAAGGCGGGATGCTGCCGGCCACACTCACTTGCTCGCTGGGCCTCGGAGGGGTGGGAGGGGCGGGGCGGTGCGCAGCCTCCCCCCGTCAGGTCTGCGATCCGGGCCCAGCCAGGCTGCACAGGCGCGCGGGGCGCACGTCCGCGCGCCGGGGCTGCCAGGTGAGTCGCGCGCGATCGGGGAGCGGTGCCCACGGGTCGGAGGGAGTGGGTGTGGGGGACCCTGCGCTGACCTGGGAGCGGAGCCGCAAGGTGCCCGAGGAGCATGGGAAGGAGCGTCCCCGCACGTCCCCGCAGCAGGCAGGGGCAGACGGAGCAGCGCCCCCTTCTTCTTTGGAGGCAGCAGGAGCACCCCAGATCCGGTGGCGGGAGGCAGAGAGTTCATTTTGCGGAACAAAAAGCCCAGGGCGAGAAGACATTTGACTTGGAGAGAACTGGGGGAGTTAGGGATTGCTGATTTCATCTCATAACTTTTTTTCACACCCAAGCGAGGGGTCTGGGAGGTGGGCAGGGAGAGCGCTTAGGAGACAAACAGAGTTAATCCCTCATCCCATTGATCACCGCCGCTCTGAATGTTCTCAAAGCTCACCCTGCATCGTGGTGGACTGTATGGTGTTGGAAACGACCAAAGACACTGCCCCACCCCGACCCCCAACAAGCAAGGAAAATGTTTCCCGTGAAATGTCTTTCTTCTCTGTCTTGTTTTTTTGTTTCGTTGCTATGGATTCGTGAACTAGCTTGTAATGGTCTCTAAACCTCTAAATCGTATTATAATATTTACGTGTCCATGCATGCATTTTTCTGAAGCGAGCTTTCAGATATTGTATTTGTTTCTCCCTGAGATTAAATAGGCAAAACCATATCTTTGGGCTGCATCAACATGACCTCTTAATAGTCTTCAGGGAAACTGAGTTGCAGATTCTTACTTAAAGAATTGGGGATTGGCCGGGTGCGGTGGCTCACATCTGTAATCCCAGCACTTTGGGAGGCCGGGGCAGGTGGATCACCTGAGGTCAGTAGTTTGAGACCAGCCTGGCCAACATGGTGAAACTCTGTCTCTACACAAATACAAAAAAATTAGCCAGACGTGGTGGCACGGGCCTGTAATCCCAACTACTTGGAGACTGAGGCAGGAGGATCCTTTGAACCCAGGAGGCGGAGGTTGAAGTGAGCCAAGATCACGGCCAGTGCACTCCAATCTGGGTGACAGAGCAAGACTTTGTCTCCAAAACAACAACAACAACAACACAAGTGAACAAAAAACAATAAAGGAGGGACTGAGGGAAGAGCCTTGAGGCTCCCAGAAGGGTTGGGGAGAAAGATTCCTGCAGAGACTGGGGAGGACAGCACTCACCCAGTCACAAATTCACCTGTGTTAAGAATTGGTCTCTTTCCCACCAGTATGAAGTACAACTAGGTTTCAAACATGTAGACTGGGAAATCGAAGTGAGTCTTTGTGAATGGAAGGTCTACTTAAGTTTCTTTTTGACAACCCAAAGTGACCCCAACTTCGGAGCTTCTAAGGACTCTGGAGAGAAGGTGACAGATGAAGTGTTCCGACTGTGCACCTCCCTGGTCCATTGGCATCTTGGGAAAAGGAGGAAAGAACCAACTGTGACCTCAGCATGGAAGCAGAACCAGAAAAACCCAGGGAGTCTGGGGGAGAGGGAGGAGAGCTGAGAGAGTTACAGGTATTGTTGGATAAGGAGCTTAACTTACCCAACAAAACTGATCTGCAAAACCAACAAGCACCTAAGGAAAATCACCTTTCATCATTAATCCCACCTTCCTTGTTGCCACCAAATGGGCAGGAGTACTCTGTGGAGGTGAAGTAGTATCTGCTGCCACTTACCTAGATAGCATTTCGGATCCTGCCTTCCTTACCCGCAGAATCTTGGAATCCCAATCTGTGAGGTTCCTAGGTGTGCTGGCATCAGGATAGCAGTCCACAAACGGTGTGTTACCCAAACATTAACATCCTGTAACTAGCCTCAAACAATCACAGCAACTTCCCAATTTCAGAGAAAAAAAAGGCTAAAATTGTAAGCTTTTTCTTAACAATGTTTTATTTCTTAATTTTTGTGGGTACATAGCAGGTATATATAATTATGGGGTACATGAGATGTTTTGATACAGGCATGCAATGTGAAATAAGCACATCATAGAGAGTGGGGTATCCATCCACTCGAGCATGCATCCTTTGTGTTATTAATACAAACAATCCACTTACACTCTTTATTTAAAAATGTGCAATTAAGTTATTATTGACTATGGTCACCCCATTGGGCTATCAAATAGTAGGTATTGTTCTTTCTACCATTTTTTTTTTTTTTTTTACACATTAGCCATCCCCTCCAGCAGTCCCCCACTACTCTTCCCAGCTTCTGGTAACCATCCGTCTACTCACTATGCTCATGAGTTCAGTTGTTTTGATTTTTAGATCCTACGAATGAGTGAGAACATGCAATGTTTGTCTTTCCATGCCTGGCTTTTTTCACTTCCCATAATTACCTCCAGTTCTATCCATGATGTTGCAAATGGCAGGATCTCATTCTTTTTTATGGCTGAAAAGTACTCCACTGTGTATAAATGCCACATTTTCTTTATCCATTCATCTGTGGATGGACACTTAGGTTGCTTCCAAATCTTGGCTATTGTGAACAGGGCTGCAACAAACATGGGAGTGCAGATATCTCTTTGATATACTGATTTTCTTTCTTTTGGGTATATACCCAGCAGTGGAAATGCTGGATCATATGGTAGCTCAGTTTTTAGTTTGCTGAGGAACCTCCAAACTGTTCTCCATAGTGGTTGTACTAAAATTATAAACTTTTTTTTCACAAGTTTATTCCAACCTTTGATGCTGGCTTTTATTCCTGCTGAACCCAGCTTAGTTCACACTTATATTTTTGGTTATGCTGAAGCTGAATATATCATTATTTCTTGCTTGCAAAGAACCCATTGGTTTCAAGTGATTTGTAACCTCCTCACGTTTGAGAACTACTGTTGTAGCAAGAGAAGAGATTATACCCAGGATTGTGCCACGTTTGTCTTTAATGTCCTTTGAGTTGAAATGATTTGTTTGTGGACCATCTGGTGTTCTGAGTTGTGGCAGTGATTGTACTGGACCCTGAGGCTAGGGAGGAAAGAAACAGCTTCATCCTACCTGCTCACAGCCCAGACTGGTTCTTTGTGTGCTGTTCTTGACTTCACACATATTTTGTAAACTCAGACTATACTTTTATGAGGTTTTATGGAACAGAGATTAAGCTTCCTAGCCAACCCCTCCACCCTTACAATTGGCTAGTCAGTCTTCATTCAATCCTAAATTGAACTATTATTTTTCAGAACAATAAGGCAGTTGTTTCTACCTATAACCCATCTTTTCCTGATAGAATTATTGTTCAAAATGGTCTCCATAACATGGCTAAGGGTTTATTTGGCAATGACAGGAATTGTAATTTTGCTTCTTATTTTAAAAGTCATCAAAGACCCAAGCTTTTTTTTTTTTAAAAGACAGAGTCTTGCTCTGTGACTCAGGCTGTAGTACAGTGGTGCAATCTCGGCTTACTGCAACCTATGCCTCTCAGGTTCAAGCGACTCTCATGCCTCAGCCTCCCAAGGAGCTGGGACTATAGGCGCAGGCCACCACATCCAGCTACTTTTTTTGTATTTTTAATAGAGATGGGGTTTTGCCATGCTGGCCAGGCAGGTCTCGAATTCCTGACCTTGGGCAATTCGCCTGCCTGAGCCTCCCAAAGTGCTGAGGTTACAGGCTTGAGCCACTGTGCCTGGCCTAAGAACCAAGCCTTTTTTAAGAATGATAGTTGCCACTTCACTAGCCCTTCAGTACCACATACGTTTTGCTGATGTTACTGATTGTTCTTTAATGCATTCAGCAAATGTGAATATTTACTGCACACCAACAGCCAGCACCTGGGGTACGAGGTGACTTGTGTTTTGCTTTCAAGGAGCTGACAAATAAGCAGCTTGGACTTGAATTCCCTCCCCTTCTCTTCCTCTGGCTTCTCTGTTAAGGCAAATCTCAATTAGAATGAAATAACTCCGGAGAATTATTTTGGGCGTTACTAAAACTATCTTTACTTCTTTGCTCCAGAAACAGCATTAGCTACTTAGTGGCCTCTTGACGTAATCTAAGAACTGTCTTTGGGACGTGCTGCTTCTGGGACTCCTTGGCTGTGACCATATTCTTTCAAGTTTAAGTGACTTCCTGCTCCTTATGCATGGGTCCATTTAAGACGTTCTGCCAAGGGAGAAACCATCCACTGTGGTTGCCTGGCTTCAGAGTGCTCTCACTGGTCAGCAGTCCCTGACTCCTATGACCTCCAGTGCTGTGTAGATGATAGTTCCATGAATAGCACTTTTAACTAGAGTCAATTAACTTGGCAAGGAGAGAAGCATTCACTTTTGATGGGTAATACATGGTCCCAGGGAGCACCAGCCTCTCCCATTGAGGATCCTAACAGCTGGCCAGAGGCAAGTTCCATATCCCTGGGCTATTCTTTCCCCAGTTCATACAGAATAAAAGTAGCAAACCTGTAAATGCATTCTGATCTGCACCTGGACTAAGTGAGATCTGGAAGAGTATACTCAAGAGCAGTCAACAGGGAATGATTCGGCTAATTTAGGATTTGTTAAGTTGGGCTAGTTTGAAATATACCTCTGCACTCCTCTCATGAAATGCTGAATAGAGTCAATTTAGTATCAGCTAATAGTTACAATGGCGGCAGATTCTGATGTAGCACTTAACATGATTCAGGCACCCTTTTAAACACTTTGTTTAGTATCTGGGTGACAGGATTAGTCAAGCCCCCAAACCTCAGCACCATTTAATAGATGCAACTAAGAAACCTGCACATGTACCCCTTGAATCTAAAATAAAAGTTGAAATCATTAAAAAATCATCTAATCCTCTCTCAATCCAAGGAAAAGTAGGCACTGTTATTATTGACAATTTAGCCCTGGTTCACACAATTACAGTTGGCCCTCCATATATGTGAGCTCTACACTTGTGGATTCAACCATCCATGGATTAAAAATACTTTAAAAAATATGTCTGTAATAAACATGTACAGACTTTTTGTTCTTGTCATTATTCCCTAAACAATACAGTATAAAAACTATTTATATAACATCTATGTTGCATTAGGTATTATAAGAAATCTAGAGATGATTTACAGGAGGATGGGCATAGATTACGAGTAAATACCATACCATTCTATTTTTATATCAGTGACGTGAGCATCTGCAGATTTTGGTATCCTTGGGGATCTGGGAACCAATTCACTTCAGATACCAAGGGACAACTCTACAGTGTTTGATTTATTGAGCTTTTCGAGATATTCAGCCTTTTCCTGTCTTCACACTTGTTGTTCCCTCTGTTATTTAGAGTAATCCTGATGAAAATAAACAAAATACACATTAAGAGGCAGCACTGAGAGGTAATGTGCCAACTGGTCTTTGTGATTACAGGCACTTCAGATTTCCCTCTTGCCCACTCATTGTGAGATGCAGCCCAGTCCTGCAAAAAGATTGCCCCAGTCATATCCTGGCTCACCCCTAACTAGCAGTTTGACCTTGAGCACATCACTGCCTCCTCTGTGCCTCAGTTTCCTCTTCTGTTCAATGGGGATGATCACAGCACTACCTCACCATTTATTGTGAGGATTAAATAGATGCAAATATGTAAGACACTTACAGTAGTGCTTTGTACACAGAAGGCACTATTATTTTTTATTAATCCCCATTTTTCCTTCCCAACTTCATCTCCCAATATCCCATAACCATGCTGAGTTCCTTACAACTCCCCCAGGCCTCCTGGACTAAGTGAGATCTGGAAGAATATACTCAGGGCAGTCAACAAGGACTGATTCTGCTAATTTAGGATTTGTCAAGTTGGGTTAGTCTGAAATATATCTCTGTACTCCTCTCAGGAAATGCTGGATAGTATAGATTTAGTATCAGATAATAGTAATAATGGTGGCAGACTCTGATGTTTCCTCTTTCCCTTGTGATCTCAGTAGTCTCAGACCATTCATACATCAAATGACTTAACAACTAACAATCACCTAATATTTTTTAAGCTTTTCTTACGTGCCCGGTAATGTGCCAAGTGTTTTTCTTCCTATTTTTAACATACTATTGACAGCTTCATGAGGCGGGTTTCTATTTTGTTAAAATAATTTGCCAAGTCCACTTCCCCAGTAGACTGTGACAGTGGCTTATGCATCTGTGTATGTTATTCAGCTTGTATCTCTAGGACTTGACAGAGGACCCAATACAGAGTGGGTGCTCCAGAAATGTGGACTTGGATGCATTTCACCAACAGCTATTTACATCCAAATAATAAGCTAATTGTAACTCTTCTAGATGAATGTACTTTCCTCATTGCAAAAATTCACAATCAAAATTTAAAAACACTAATAAGCAAGAAGAAGTAAGTTAAAATTGCACTCCTTCTAGCCCTAGAGAGCTTAATCAACTTGCTTAGGAACATGCTACTAAATGGCTAATCTGAGCATCAAAATCTGGCCATCTGGCTTCAGGGCTCAGGCTCTTAACGGTTGCATTATACCACAGATCCCACCCCATCCACCCCAACACACACTCCCCTGCACAAACAAATTATGTTAGCTATTAAAGGGAATTGGAAGAGTGGAAATGTGCAATTAAATCTACCACAAATACAATGTTGCAATGTGTGCAATCTATATTTTTAAAATTTACGGTATTCAGCATTTTCCTGTCTTCACACTTGTTCCCTCCATTATTTACGGCAATCCTGATGAAAATCAACAAAATACAAATTGAGAGGCAGCACAGAGAGGTAATATAGAAAAGGAATGGCTTTTGAGTCAGACAAACACGAGTGTGGATCCCAGCTAAGCCCCTAGATGTGTTACCGGAGATGAGCTACAAAACATTTCTCAGTCTTAGTCTCCTGTAAAATAGAGGTAATAAGAAACACTTTTCAGTATTTTGTGACATGTAGAAGTGAAGTGATGGTGGCATGCACCACTCTTAGTTAATAGTAGGTCCTATTGTTAAGTCTCTAATGGCGATACCCTATAGCTTCCCCAAATGGCGACCTTGTCAAATTGTTTTCCAAAGTTACATGTGGCTTTTTTCTCCCAGTCCTTCATTTTAATTCTCACAATAATTTAACTTTTATATTTTTATTAGATGCATTTAGTAACTCGCCCCACAGTCATTTTCTTGGAAATTCAATTTCTTCTCCACAGGGTCTCTTTTGAGATTAAAGAGAGAGAAGTGGCAAATTTAGGATGTTAGAACAATTTTCATTTAAAAGTAGATCCTTGTTTTTATTACCCTACCATTAATGTTTTCTGTTTTCCTTTATAGCGAGTTACTTCCATTTGATTCGTATTGCCAAACTGAACTCTCTTGTTTTCTTGCAAGATGAAAGGAGGCAACCATGAATGAGCCACTAGACTATTTAGCAAATGTTTCTGATTTCCCCGATTATGCAGCTGCTTTTGGAAATTGCACTGATGAAAACGTCCCCCTCAAGATGTACTACCTCCCTGTTATTTACGGCATTATCTTCCTCGTGGGATTTCCAGGGAACGCAGTAGCGATATCCACTTACATTTTCAAAATGCGACCTTGGAAGAGCAGCACCATCATTATGCTGAACCTGGCCTGCACAGATCTGCTGTATCTGACCAGCCTCCCGTTCCTGATTCACTACTATGCCAGTGGTGAAAACTGGATCTTTGGAGATTTCATGTGTAAGTTTATCCGCTTCAGCTTCCATTTCAACCTGTATAGCAGCATCCTCTTCCTCACCTGTTTCAGCATCTTCCGCTACTGTGTGATCATTCACCCAATGAGCTGCTTTTCCATTCACAAAACTCGATGTGCAGTTGTAGCCTGTGCTGTGGTGTGGATCATTTCACTGGTAGCTGTCATTCCTATGACCTTCTTGATCACATCAACCACCAGGACCAACAGATCAGCCTGTCTCGACCTCACCAGTTCAGATGAACTCACTACTATTAAGTGGTACAACCTAATTTTGACTGCAACCACTTTCTGCCTCCCCTTGGTGATAGTGACACTTTGCTATACCACGATTATTCACACTCTGACCCATGGACTGCAAAGCCACAGCTGCCTTAAGCAGAAAGCTCGAAGGCTAACCATTCTGTTACTTCTCGTATTTTACGTATGTTTTTTACCCTTCCATATCTTGAGGGTCATTCGGATCGAATCTCGCCTGCTTTCGATCAGCTGTTCCATTGAGAATCAGATCCACGAAGCTTACATCGTTTCTAGACCATTAGCCGCTCTGAACACCTTTGGTAACCTGTTACTGTATGTGGTGGTCAGCGACAACTTTCAGCAGACTGTGTGCTCAATAGTGAGATGTAAAGTAAGCGGGAACCTTGAGCAAGCAAAGAAAATCAGTTACTCAAACAACCCTTGAAATACTTTATTTACTTAACCAAAAACAAATACTTGCTGATACTTTACCTAGCACTCCTAAGACGTTCAGGATGTCTCCCTCAATGGAACTCCTGGTAAATACTGTGTATTCAAGTAATCACGTACCAAAGCCAGAGCAGAGCTTCTAGTTCTTTGCAATCCCTTTATTGAGCTCCTCCATTGGGGAGATAAAGAATTGGATGCATGCGTATCAGCAAAGTGTTCAGACATAGTATTACAAGCTATTGCAACTCAGAGGCATCTTAGAGAACATCTGTTCCCACCAACTTATTATATATACATGGAAACCAATTTCATACCCTTGCCCTAGATTGCTCAGTAAATTAGTGCCAAGATAGGAGAAAACCAATCTTTTCACTCATCATTTCATGCTCCTCTTCACTCCAGACCTGTTTGTATTGAACCATTAGATAATTCAAATCACTACTTGTATCTTTCTTAATATTTATTTTTTACATCTTATAGCTCTACAATTTGTTTCCTTCAAGCTTAACTTTGAGATTATAAAACTGGGTTTAGCCAGTTCTGTATATTACTTGCAAGCCAGTAAGATACCCTTGAAATAACTCAAGGACGTCCATGCAAATAGCTGAAATTAGTACCTGCAAGATATTTGGAGTATCATGTCTTTATTGTTGTTAAAAAGTTTTTATTGAATTTATAAAAATTATCAAATCGTATTCATCGTTATTAACATGTCCTGGGGAAGGAAGGAAAACTTTTGAGGACAGAAGTCACTTTCAAATATCATGTATGTATTGGGTGTTCAATCATATCTAACACTGTTTTGATTTTTGTGGGAAAATATTCCAGGAAACACTAATTCTCTTTAGATTTCTTGTTCTTTTATGACTACAATGAACATATGTCTATGTAATAGCTAAATATATTTTTGAATTGTATGTGTGCTTAATTATCAGTAAGTATAAATATTTGAGAAAATACCTGGTCTGGATATTTAAAACCCTCATAAACATGTTGGTACAATTAATAAACTTATTTATAATTATGTAATAGGCTGTTTGGTCATATTTTTCTGTGAAAATGCAGTTTTATCACTATTATATTTACATGAAACTTATTTTCTCTATGGTTAGGAACAAAAATAAGTTAAGAATCAATAATATTATAGAATAAGGCTGAAATAGTTGACTTACACAGAGGAAAGAGTACCACAGAAATTCTTCCTGATGTTCCAATTCTTCTAGGACATGACATCTGACTTAGACTTCAGTGAGGATGTTCATCAGGAATCTCTTCAGAGCAAATTGAGGGAAAGAAGAAGAAGCCGATGGATCTGAACATGAACTTTTCTGGACAATGGTGCTTTCTGCAACCCCTACGTTCTGAGCCATCTTCTTCTGAGCCTTTCTATAACATGTGGAATAAGCTATTTCACTAGAGGACCCCAACTTGCTCATCTGCGCTGGCTGTATTAGCATCGAGAAATATTCAGAGGTCCACCTGGAACTGCTAGCTCTTTTTTTTTTTCCTGATGTCTAGTCCAGCCCCTGGACTATTGCTAAAGTGCAGACAGACTTGCCCGTATTCCACTGGGGTCATTATTCTAGCCTTGGGCACAAACTCCTTTCCTTTCTCTCCCCATCTTTATTCCTTCTTATTCCAAAGAGTTCACCCACCAGAGAAAAGCCACTTCAACCTCCTTCATGTCTTTCTCAACTCATCTCTGTAGTTTCTTTTATTTTTTACCTTCTTCCTACCAACATATAGAAAAACAAATCATCCTTCTGGCAGAAATTCTTTCACTGTATCTCTGGTCTTTATTTTGCTCTTTTAGGGACCTTGCTCCAACACTTAATCTCACTTTCTCACATTTTTAACATTTTTATTACCCTGGATAATTGACCTTAGCTTGGGAGCATGCATAATTTTCCATTATCTGAAAAATGCCTCCCCCTTGATTAAGTTTTTCTGTCGTTCTGTTACCTAATCTTCTTCCTACAGCTGTGGGTTGGGTGCAGATAACAGTCTGCCCTCTAGGGTACTGCTGATAGAACAGAATCACAGAGATCCAAGCTAAATTTAATTCAAAGGGTCAGTTTTATTTTACAAAGTTAAGAGTTCTGGGTTATTTGTGCTGAAGGAGGCAGTTTTGAACTGAGGCCAAAAAAAGGGATTGATGATATTTCCCAGGCTACAATGGGACCTGTGTGACCTTGCTGCATACAACCAGGCCTAGGCAGAGAAAGACAGAATGAGAACAAAAAAGCAGAGCTCTGACTGCATCCACCAGGGCAGAGCTACTCAGGTCTGCTTGCTGGGTGAGAACCGAAAGTGCAAGTCAGGCTCACTGCACCTGCATATGGGGAAGCCAGAAAAACCTGTTCCAAACTTCTGAGACACGGTAATCTCTTGCGTTATTTGTAACTCTTTATTGTGGACATGTTCAAATAGTCACAAAATTTAAAAAGGAACCAAATGACCCATGCCTTAATTTCATCAATAGCCAACATCCCACCCTTCAGGTTTTATCTCTCTCATCTCACATCTTTTTTGCTAGAATATTTAAAAGCAAATTCTAGACAAGATACAGTTTTACCTATCAATGCTTCAACACAGATTTCTTTCAAAACATACAAAACCAAAACAAAATAATAACTGATTCCTCAATATTATGTAATACTAATCCATGTTTCATTACCCCTGTTTTTCCCCAAAGTATGTTTATACAGTTTTTTTTTTTTTCCAAATCAGGGTCAGAGGAAGCTCCATGCATTGCATTTAGTTGATAAGACTCTTAAATTAATTTTAATCTATAAGAGCTCCCCTTTTCTTTATTAATTGCCATTTATTTGCTGAAGAAATCAAGTCAAGTCATTTGTCCTGTAGAATTTTTCACATTGCAGGTCTGGCTGTTTTAATTCCATTTTGTTACTTATCACGTTCCTCCAACCTACGTATTTGCAGTAATTTGGAAGGTAAAGCTAGAGGTTAGATTAGATACAGATTATTTGTTGTTATTTCCTTCTCCACTTTTCCTTCCCTTCCCTGTTTTCTTTCATTCCTTTCTTCCTCCTTCTCACCCCTCCCTCCTTCATTTCTTCTTTCTTTTCTTTTTATAGGAACACTAATTCACCTTGGGGAGGGGTGCTTTGTGTCTGACTGTCCTATGCTTTGCAATTGAGCAGGGCTTTCAGAACGTATTACTCTGATCCTTCTATCATAAGTTCGCCATCTTCCTCCGCCTTCATAGCTTTATGTTTAATGTTTTCAGTTGCTCATTTCTATTTTGATCCACTAGGTTACTTATAAAATTCTAACATTCCTCTGCTTTTATTAGTTATAGTTTTTTCTAGAAAGATCTTTGATCCATCAACATTTTGTACCCTTCATTCTTAACATAGTTCTGACCCATGAATCTAGTTACTCTTTCTTTTTTGGCAAGGTAAAGGAAGCAATGAAAAGGGATGTGGAAGCTGCCTCCTAGTACTTCCTCACTGAGACCATAAGGGTTGATGGAAATTTTGACAGGATTTCCTTTCAATATGGGCCAAGTTTTTGTTCTTTTTAACATTTTGCGGTTAACAGCCAAGCTTATGAGCTACAGAATTGGAGCAGCGCCCTTGAGGAAGGAGACTAACAGAGGAAATTGCCTTACTGTTGCTGTGCTTCTCCTCCAAACCCACCATAGTGTCTTTGTGTACCCTCTTGGACCATGCAAGACATTTAAATTTTCCTCCAGAAAACTCAGAAAAAAAAAAAAAAAAAAACCCGGAATAAAACACTGATTAACTACAAGGCCATGTAGCACTCGAGGCCAAACCTTCACTCTTGCTCTAATTTTATTCTTAAATTCTAACCAGCAACATCCTTCCATATTATCTATCTGATATTTTACAGTGAGCTCAAATGTTATCAAACAATATAAGGCAGGTAACATAAAAAGTACTTGAAGCTTGAGAGTTCTTTCTATTATTGAGTTCTCAGGAAGAAATTAAATTTTAATATGCAATGATCTTTTTTTTAAATTCTATTTCCTGTCTATGCTTCTGTCTAAATATTTTCCATCAGTCTATTTCATTTCATTAATCCTACCTTGTACACATACAATTTGCCATTAAACCCATCCATTGAATTCTTAATTTCAGAGATTATGTTTTTTCATTTATGGAAGTATATGTGGTTCTTTTTATTAATTCTACCATTTCAGTGAGTTTGGTTGTCTTTCAATCTCTTTTGTCTACCTCTTTCTATATTTTCCAGAACTGAATAATCATAGTTACTTTAAAGTTTTTATCTGTCCTTCCAATATCTGAATTACCTTTGGGTCTGCTTCTATTGTCTGTCATTTCTTTCATGTCTATTGGTCATGTGATCCTATCTTCTTACATGTCTATTAAATTTTTATTGAATAACAGGAATTGCATATGGAAAGATCAAAGAGGATCCTCTGATAGGCTTACCTTTTCTTCTGCCACGAAAATAGACTTGGGAATGTATTTCTTTAAATTGTAAATAGAAACTGGACTAGGCTGAGACTAGGTTACAGTTTGGTACATTGCAGTTTATCTCTGATTTGCCTTTGTTACTGATGCTTAGAGTTTATTTTATATATGTATATATATATACACACACACCCACACACATATTTGTGTCTAAATATAAATACATTATATATATTTGCATTTACATATTTTATAGACAGTACATGATGAATCCTGTTTCTATCCCAACTAACATCTCTGCCCTTAGTTGGAGTATCTGGTACACTTATATTTAATGTAAGTATTGATATGGTTAGGTTCAAAGTCTACTGTCTTGCTATTTTTTCATTTGTCTCTTCTTTTTTGTATCTTTGATGTTTCTTTTGTGTTTCCTATTAGAAGAATAAAATATTTTTAATATTACTTCCTCTATTGTGGATTCTTAGCTATATTTTTAAATTCTTTTTATTTTATAGTAATATTCTAGGGCTATAAATATCTTACCTCAAGTATCAAAAATTATTTAGAGTCAATTATGTTTCTTTTACATTTCACACCTACACTTTTCCACTCCCTACTGTCATCTTTTCTCTTCTCATTTCATACTTAATACTTTGTATTTTTCACTTCCCACTTCTTCTATCTTCAAAATGTAGTAACATTATAACAGCACTCACTCTAACTTCTGTTCTATTACTGTCAAAACTTGTACTTTTAAACGTATTATAAACCCCAGTTTACATCGTAAATATTTTTAGTCAGTTGCCCTTTAAGAAAATTACAGTAAGAAAAAAAAATCTTCTATAGTTTCCTACTTATTTACCAAAACCATGCTTGTCATTTCTTTCTAAAGATAAGAGAGTTCATCTGATATCATTTTCCTCCAACCAAAAAACGTTCTTTAGTATTTATTGCAATACAGTTGTGCTGAAGAGAAACTTTCTAAGCATTTATTTATCTGAAAATATCATAATTTAACTTTTTTTTAAGAAAGATGTTTTCACTGAACATAGAAATGCCACTGGATGAAGGATTGCCACTTTTAATTTTAGCACTTCAGAGATATTGTTCCATTAGTTTTTCATTTCTATTGTTTCTGATAAAAAGTTCGCTGTAAGTCATATCATTGTTTCCTGTATGTAATATGTTTTCTTTATCCTCTGGTTCTTCTAAGATCTTCTCTTTATTGCTGTTTTAAAGCAATTTGGCTATTCTGTGGCTAGGTGTAATTTCCTTTGTATTTATAATGCTTAGGAATTATTAATATTCTTGAATCTTATAATGTACTCCTTTTCATCAAATTCAGAAAATTCTAAGCATTATTTTTTCAAATATGTATTCCACTCCATCTTCACTCTTCTTCTCATGAAATTCCAGTTACACGTATGTCACACAGCTCAATATTTTTGCACTGGTCACTGAGACTTTGCTCATGTCTTTTCAATCTTATGACTCTATTCTTCAGATCTATTTAAAGTTAATTATTTCTTTTATTATCTCCAATTTACTGTTAAGCTCAATGAGTAAACTTTACATTTCAGTTATTTTATTTCTTGGTTCTATAATTTCTTTTTTTAT